GATTTTTTTATTTTTCATTTAAAACTCTTCATCATCTCAAGCTTCTTCAAAAATATCACTAAAATGGTTTTGTCAAATAATAACTTTTGGCAAACAATTGCGTAATATTTATAATTTTTTAGAAAAACGTTAATAATAGTCTATTACAATCGATCATCATTCTAATAAACTTACAGTCTTAATAAAAGTTTAAAATACTATTATATTCAATTATATTTATAAAACTATAAACTTAATGAATAAGTAAAAGGCTTTACTCAATGTAACACTTGAGAAACAATGATATAATCTACACGGCAAATTGATCTTGCCGATTTTGTCGACGGTCACTTTGACAATCGATTAGTGTCAAAGTAACTAAGTATAACCGTGGAATTTTTAATGCTGGAAAACAGAGTTTTCAGCTATACAGCTGGATTATGCATTTTTTCGTAAACTTATTTAAAGTCCAAAGTTAAGATAACAGATAGTCGCTGTGCCCAAAAATATACACAACGAAAAGCACATTGACAGCAGCATAATACGCATTACGCATCGCCTATTCGCGTGTGCGCAAATAATTTAGTAACGAGGTGTTACAGATAAAGGAGTACGTGAGGGTGTGTAAAATGCCGTTTACAAAGCAACGCAAGTAACTAATCGAGGGTGAATTTTGGGGGAATTTTCGAAGCGTTTGTAGACTCTATAAGGACTACGATGACAGATCGGAGGGGGCTTCAAGCATATTGGCGAGAACATCTTCGTGGGGCGGTTCACCAAGTAGCTGTAAGAAAAATCTGTTTTCGCTGCACTTGAGACCGATTGAGCGAAGCGCGGGCAGTCTGAGCAAAAGCTTGGCGAAGCGACCAGACTCGTCGGGCCGGTGTATCCGCAAATACTCGTCAAGGGCCGTGTAGACCTTCTCGCGCAGCGAGTCGATCTCGATGGGGGTCTTCAGGTTCCGCACCTCCGGGTTAAACAGGATGATGGAGCGCAGGCAGCCGAGCTCCGTCTTGTCCATGCGCATGCTCTTCATCTTGTGGACGAGCTCGTTGACGATACGCTCGAAAATGGACGTGACGCCTGCCTGCTGGGCAAGAGTCTTGTGAAAGATGAAGCCCTTGGCGATGACGATACCATCCTCGACGTCTATCGAGCGGTACGCAAACGCAGCGACTAGCAACTCGTTCCAGCCAGAGCGTAACAAGAGCGCCTGATTCTCGAGGGGCAGGTTCGTGAAGTGGGGCACCCGCCTCGCCCACTCGACCATGTGCCGTGCGTGCATGTTGCCGATTTTATTGGCGCCATACTGATCGTGCGAATTCGACTGCTTCTCGCATAGTTGCTCAAAGCATCGTTCCGCCTCGAGAAACAGCTCGATCGGCATGTCCGCGTGAACCGTGGCACCAGGGATCCCGCCGCTGCTGCTGCTACTGGTACAACTATCGGCTACAGTGTCGTGACCGTTGGCTGGACCGGGCGCAGCGGCAGCATCGCGCTCGCGCTCTTTCGTGCGCTGGCGCTCCTCCTGAACGGCTTCGCGCTTCATGCCCATTGTCAGGCACTTTTGGTAGCGACAATACTGACAGCGGTTTCGCTGCCGCTTATCGATCAGGCAGCGCTTCTCTTCCCGGCAGGCATAACTCAGATCCTTTCGTACCGTTCGCTTGAAAAAGCCTTTGCAGCCCTCGCAACTGTGCACATTACAAAGAATGTTAATGTCAAAAGTAAAACATATAAACGTTATCGGTAATTAAAGACCACAACTTGCCGTCCAGGCATTACCTGTAAACTCCATAGTGCTTGCCACTGGCTCGATCTCCGCAAATCGAACATAAGTGTTTGCTCCCCGAGAGGGGATGATTTGGGGGATAGGGCGAAACCACTCCACCTTTGCTGTGATTACCAGGCGAATTGCTAACTAAGTTAGTGGGACAACCCATATTCAAGGACCTAAAATTCATAATTATTATCAACAAGATGAAATGTATATACCAGTTCTGGTAAATTTTTATAAAGATACCAGTTTATTGTTATTAATAAAAAAATTCTTACCCAGGGCTATTTGGTCCAGGACTGAAATTTCCAGTGTTCATTAAATTAGCTGTATCAGGTTTCATTTCAAGTGGACTTTGAGGCCCTAATGAACTCATTGATAAGTTGCTGCCATCAAGACTCAACCCTTGAATTATTAAAAAAAAAATAATAATAATTATAATTTTTCTAAGAGAAACGATTTTTAATTATCATTATTTATTGTAGTGTTATTGAAACGTCATTTTTTCTCAATTATAGCTTTGATTGCAAAACTTTATTAAATGCTCAATAGTTGCATGCATCAAAATTTATGTAAAATTAGTGAATAGTTCACATTATTAAGAAAATTGATGTTTCAAAAATTAACTGTATAAAATATGAAAATATGTATATTTTTGAGACTAACCTCTGTCAGTGGAGTCCATCATCTTTGCTGCTTCTTAGAAAACTCTTTTCCACCAAAAATTTGTACCAGTCAAGAGAATAACAACAATCTATGTCTACTGTTACTCTGCAAATTAGCTTTAAAAGCCATATAACTTACTTTTTTCTATTAAGAAACCTGAATTATTAGTGAGATTGGAGTAAGATGTGACTTTTTCGTGTTATTAAGTTTGTTTTTCCAAAGAGAACGGATGCTTTGCTACAAGCATCAAGTATTAATGTTGATAATTTTTATAAACCTCCTCAAAAATTCATCCATTGGGCCACTATTATCATTTAATCCTCACAAACTTTAAATTTACAAATAAATATACATGTACAAACAATCATAAAAAAAAAAAAAGAATAATGATAATGGTTTTAATTATCAGTGAAAGTGGTGTCCTTGATGCTCTCTAGGGAACTCGGACATCCGGATTGCGATGGAGCCCCATGATTTTGAATGCAAAATGGAACACCAAAACAACATAAACACAAACATAAACAGGTGTACAAGGTATTTATACACTTAATATTTTATCATTCAATTGTATTGCACTGACACTTGGCATTCTTGACAGCAGCAGGAACAGCCAGTTAACACTTTACGCTGGATGACTCGTCGTACGAGTTAAAAAGAAAATAAATCTTTTCCCACCTGACGGCCTTGTGCGCGCCTACATCTCTCTATATATATTTATATATGTTACATTTTTTTTTTTGACGCTCTGCGTATTATATGTATATGCTTGAGGATTTCGGACTGCTCGCTCCTGACCGCGGTCCTATACTCCAAAAGTGCTCCAGAAATCGTTAAATAACTGGGTTATGGATAACGGTGAAAAACACGAAACAAGCTGTTAACCGTGCGTTAATCTTGGCGATGACTATGTTACCAGGCGTCGTTATAAACGTTGTTTTACATTGTCCGCCGTTTGTTATTTATAACTTTAGGTAGATAAATTATCTAAAGTCGACCGCTTATTAACTCTCATATTGTGATTTTTTTTTTTTTTTTTTTTTTTTTTTTTTTTTCTTCTATACCAACGTTTATACACAGGTGTACTCCTGGGGCTTTTACGACTTTTGTGCTTTGGAATGTGACCGCAGCCATGCTGTTTGCATTCAAGCATGGCAAAAGGTGTGTTCCAGTAACACTTTCTGACAACGTAATGACAGCTTAAACGTGTCGCAAGGTGTCGTAAGACGTAATTAAGTCGTTGGAGAGCATTACTCGAACACACCCAAAGTCATGTAAAGTCGGATCGGGATCGGATCGTTGGATTGTCGGACGTGATGTGTGTTGCAGACTTGCAGCCGGTGCACTTACACTTTCGTTTTCGTAAGTCAATACTTAGGTATATGTGTTAGCGTTGGTATACATAGTTATATTGCGCGTGAGGATAGACGGCAAAAGGTGCGTACCGATATATACTTATTATTTGTTGTAACATATATTTGTTAAAGAGGTGCGAGCTATAGAACAAAAAGACTATATAATTTGCACGCTTTTGCAGTTTGATACAAAGTAATGTGCCGACATCGGCGGAAGAGAGAACGAGTAGGCGAGTACACTTCCAGTATTCAGTGTTACCTCTAGTCCTCTACCTGGCGAGGGCATGGCATGGTATATTATATATTTGCATTTAAACGCTGATTACACAATTACTGCTGCATGGAAGAGCGAGCTTACGTTACACGTGTCCTCAATCCTCGACAGTTTTAAGAAATAGTATTAAAGAAGAAAAAAAAAACCCACCAATGATATAAATACAAGGTGATGCTGCAATCCTCAACTCAGTTCAGTATTCTGTCTCTTGCCTTTATGTAAGTACGTATAAGCTGTTGTACTTACCTATCAGCTCACTGTGTATAGTTCTATTCTGTCGTCGTCTTATCATTATCAGCATCAGCAATTTCAGCATCGTCGTCGTAGGCGCTGCTGTCTCCACCACCTACCAACGAAACACTAGTTTTATACATAGGGCTATACTTGTTGTCACTAATTTTTGGATTCCAATTGTCTGTAGTATTCTTTTTTTCTCACGTCTCGTTTCTACGTCCAAGCTTAGCCCAATTTGTCTTCTAAATGAAACTCATTAGTAAAGTTGTTTGTTAATTCAGGCACTCAGCAAAGGATGAGGAAAGGACGGGCCACTACCGCCGTCTTTTTCTTTCGTTGACCTCGATAGTATTCGCCGCGTGTTGTGCATTTTTTTTCCTGTAATAAGTATTTATCACTCGGTCCGATAATACATATAAGTATACGTGTATGGACAATGGAGGCTCGAGCCGAAGAATTTGTGGATTTCCTTGCCGAGAGGAGAAAGGATAGTGACATCATGTGGGTCTCAAGATTCACCAAACCTCTGCCTGCCCATAAACTCGCGCCCGAATTAGTTTATAATAGAAAACGGGCCATCGAAGCTGTTCTGGCTGATTATAAAATTAAGGCACTCATCCAGTCCCAGGCAGCTGCCAGAAATGTTCCTTCATCCACTGTGGTCTCAGAGGCAAAGAGTATGTTAGAAGAAATGGCCAGTAAATCACACTTGCCCACTGTCAGGTGGATAGGTAAAAAGATTTATCATTCTTTCCCTGCTCACTTTATATTATTCTCTAGTGTCGTTAAACTATAACGTAGTACCTTATTATTTTGCAGGCTTAGTTGTAACAAAAGTTCTCAAAAGAATCTTAATTAGTATTCGAATAAACGATAGTATACTTCATAGTCTGAAAAACCAAATGAGCTTTTCTTCTGTTCAGTATGTTTATTTGCCTACCCATAGGAGTTACTTAGATTTTATACTACTTTCTTACATTCTCTTCTCTTACGACATGGCTCTACCAAATATTGCCAGTGGAATGGATTTTTACAAAATGAAATTCGTTGGGGAGCTGTTAAGACATACTGGAGCTTTTTACTTAAAGAGATCTTTTTCGTCTGATCCCCTTTACAAAGAAGTATTTCGTACTTATGTCAATTCACTAGTGTCAAACAGCGACAGAGCTATCGAATTTTTCATTGAAGGTACTAGAAGTAGAAGTCAGAAAACTTTACCACCAAAATTTGGTAAGCAGTTATTTATTTTTTCATTGCACATATAAATATCCTTAGTTTCTGCATGTAAAATAAGATAAAAATCAAGGCGAGAATTTAAAAACTATCCAATTACAAGTTTGTCTTTTAACCATAGAAAACTAACACGTGTTACCGTGACCCTACTTCGAATATAAAATATCACTACGCGCCAATATTTATTAAAATTAGCCTAAAAGTTTTTACACATTAAATGGCCAAATAAATTAAAAAAAAACCCCTCTAGTTTTATTATTTTTCGTATCAAAATATGTAAGGAATATATCGAGTAATTTATTTCTTGTATTAAACGTTATTCAGAAATTATTGGAATAAAAGTAATCGAAGATATTTAATTTATTGCCTATAGCTTATTTATTTCGTGCATAAGAGTTTTTCAAAGACGTGTCAGATACTTAACCATTGACACAGTTCATAAAGTAACAACGTAAGATAATTTTTGTAATAAAAAACTAAATTCATCATCCTCATGTGAAAACTAGTATAAAATTCGTAAAAATTTCTTTGTAAAAGAAATTGCAATTTACAAAATATAAAAATACTGTAGCCTATCAATATAAACGAAATTTTTTAAATTATACTTAGCCATCTTATGGAAAAATTCATATAGTATTTATAACTTTATGTCGGACAAATTAACGTTGACCATGCAAAAATCTTTTTAAAACCCACAGCTCACGGACCAGTCATTCTTAATTATTCAGAATCAAATATTGACACTTCCATAGTTATAATGGTGGTATGATGTAACGTCCATTACGTAACGTTGAGCCATAATATTTTTATACTTCATTTTTATGATCGTAAATGATTTTTACCCTTTTAAAAAATACATTTATACTGTCTTTTCATACAGATATTTATTGATAGTATGTGTATAGGTACGCGCAAAGAAACGTACGCAAAACTGCGTATATGTACAACCTACGCAAAATGTCATCAGAAATGACTCGCTCGCTCAAACTGTTCAAAAATAAACAGTTCGTTTAAGTACTGACGGAACAATTTCCAATCGCATGTATGTGAAAAATTTGCATGCGCGATTTTATTTTAATTTTTTTGCCATCAAGTTTCGTTAGCGAAAAGTCGGTAGTACATCTCGCCTTTCGCGTACCGATTCGTGTATTTTTCTCCATGAGTACCTATAAATACACCATTCAATTTCTTAACTATGTTAGTGAAAAAAAAAAAAAAAAAAATAGAAAATATTTGAAATAATAAAAATTGACGTTTCAGGACTTTTGTCGATAATTCTAGAAAATTTGCTCAAGAGCACCGTGTACGATTTACAATTAATTCCAATAAGCATTTCGTATGACAAGCCTTTGGAAGAGCTGCTGTTTGTCTACGAACTGTTGGGAATTCCAAAGCCACCAGAATCGACGAGCGGATTATTCAGCTCGTTATCCAAGCTACTTGATTCTTCCACGCATGGACACGTCTACGTAAAAATCGCACCACCGATATCGGGACGGGATTTTATCAACATGAAGATGCGGAGGCAGAGTGCCTTATCCCCAAATTCAAGAGTACCTTCGCATGTAACAAAACAAGTTGCATATGCTGTAATCGATCGCCATAAACGGAACACCGTTCTTACGCCGTTTAATCTCATCTCGTTACTATTTAACGAGAGGATGTACTCGTATCCAAAAGAACCTTATCTTTTCGATGATCTACTGCAGGACTATTCTTGGATCAAAAATTTTTTTGTAAAAAAAATTAAGGCTATCGTCAATCCACCTGCTTTGAAGTAAGTCATTCGTTACAATAAAAGGTACCATAAAAATGAGTGCTTTAAAGGTGTTGACAAAATTTTTATTGCAGTGTCGAAAAAAATGATATGGAAGTAGATGCAGACAGAAACGAAGTCTTGGAGTCCCTGGAAACGCATAAAGATTTGATAGAAGTCGATGCCCAAAATAATTTGAAATTAAAAAATAACCCAGCAAACTTTTCACAAGTACAAGGTTTTAAAGGCCATGCATTAAGCGATAAAACGTTAAGAATTGCCGTGCCAGTGATCAATCTAATGATCTATGTTAATCCAGTTTTTGCATACCTATCACTACCTGCATTGGCAGCTTTGTGTATTAATCTATCACCTAAAGGTATATCTTATTTTTACCATCCACTGTTTTTCTCTTGTTTTATTTATTTAGTATGATTACAAATTACTTACAGAAACAGCAATAAAACGATATATGAGTTTGAGGTCACTGTTTACTTCAGAATTTGCTTTACCCGCCAACATGAGTGAGCCAGAGTTAATTAAAGAATGGGAAGAGATAACTGGATTTCTTACAGATAGAAGCTCCGAGTATTCACTTGTAAATAACAAAGAGTTACATTCACTTTTGTGTAACTTGCTCACACCTTTTATTGTTAGCTTACACGTAGCTTGTAAGACAATTTTAGAGGTAATATACATTTTCTGGATTTTAATTAGTCATCATTAATTAACGTACGCATTGATTTTTTTTTTTTTAATTTTTAGTGGAAGGATCCGCTTCAATGCCAAGAAAAAAATATTATAAAAGAATGCCAAAGATTTGTTGAAGAATCGCTTTACCAAGATGTAGTGCCTATCAAGCACCCATATTCATTAACCTTAGATGTTTATGTATCCTTGCTGTCTAGTCTTGTTGCGTGTGAATATGTTACCCTTGATGAGCAGGGATTTTACAAACCAAATAGAATAAATATGGAGACGTTAGTCCTAGAACTGGATAACATTTTAAACTCGTGTTCGAGTGTGTCATATTTGGATAACCATTCATTGTTCATTCCAAAAGATATGCCAAATTTGCTAGCTAAATTATAGTTGTCCTAAGTTTTGAGTTCTAAGTCATGTTTTCTTACAACACGTATGGTATTGCAAATAAATCGACATTGTTATACATTAAAAAATGAAGTTGATTTATCTTATTCACCTGTACCCCTATTATTTTACAATATGATTGAAAAATGTATTAATATTAAATGATTAGTATACGTAGGTAGATTCCCTATTTAAAATATATCACGTGTACTTATTCTTCTAAAATTGCAAAACATGCGATATTTTTTTTACAACTTCAAAATTAAACATCAATGCTGTATTTCAATGATTGATAAGTGAGGTAAAAACGAATGAATGGTGTGTTTTTAATAACTTTGCTACTAAATAATTATTTGACCTTTTTAAAAGTGGTTACTAAGTATATCAGAAGAGCAGTAGATAGTGTCTTGCATGTCCGAAAAATAATTGACGGCCTTCCAGTAATGTCAACGTCCTATATTACAGGAAGAGATTTTCCTTTTATTTTATTATTCCAGTATTTTTATTGAAACGTTACAAGTACGCGTTGTATGTAAACAACGTAGCCCGTACTTGATTGGTATTTATGTTTTCCAAAAATGATTGAATTTAAACATTCATTGTAAGTTTGATCGTGGGGTGCCTGCAGTCATCTTTAATCTTAATATTATTCTGGTTAGCTGAAAATATCTTAATACCCTATAGTTACGATTTAGATAATTTTAAGGCACTTTTCATCTGAGATAATTTCCAGATAATCAGTAAAATATTTTGTCCCTTCCATAAGTATACGTAATATGGTAATATATACCTACATAAATACTTTTACTGATTAAAATTCGAGACAGTGATGTGAGTCATAAGTTCAACTAGTCACTCTGCTGAAAGTGCTGAGACCAACAGTTTAAATCCACCATTTTAAGCACTTGTAACTTCCAACGTTCATCTTCGACTAAAAGTGATAAACAAAAAATTTGTTGAACATGAAGTTTTTGCTATCAATCTACCCTGCATCAGTGTTGTGTTTATTGTTCGTTTGTAGCACTGCGGATGATGATAAGAATGGTGTGTGGAGTTTTTCAAATCAACATGAATTTTCATTGCTATGAATTTTATTGAACAACTCTTTATCGATAATATTTTGTTCACAGGTTTACAAAGAGTACAAAGCAAAATTTGCGAATGCATAAATTACGATTGTGGCTGCTGTGCACAGTTATATGTTAGAGACATTATCGACGGGAGATGTAAAATAACTTTGTTTTTTTTTATCACAATTTTGTTGAAATAAACTATTTTTTATTTTATTCATTATACCACTTTTTTTAGTGTGCGCTAACTTTTCGTATTTATCCGAAGAAATCGGCGCTTCTGCAACCGTGACTTACAACAATTTAGTCATTATCAATGAAACTATTTCCGGTAAGCATTGACACACTATACTGAATAACGAATTTTTTTATTTTATTTTCTTTGAATGCGTAGGTTGCGTTTGAGCCAATATTATGCAGAGTATAAAAATATATCTCAAATTTCAGCCAGAAATCCACCGAGGCTCTGTATACTCCACATAGATGAAATAAAAATGCACATTTGCTTGCGCTTGTACAACATGAACTATACCAACGGTTTGTCAGGTTGTGCAGAATTTGATATCGAATTTTTCCATATTATACCTCTAAAAAAAATCAATCTTGGATGCTTTGGCCACCACTCAAGGTATATTTGGAATTCTATTTTGAATACATTTTACATCAAAGATAAGTCAGAGCAGCATAACAAACAACCAAATGTTGTATTAATATAAGAAGCTATTACTTTTCATCTACATCCAAAATTTTATTTTCATATGTTATATTTCGATTAAGTTGTCGATTCGATGTAATTACGGAAAACTTTTTTTTTCCTCTATATTAAAAA